GACAGAAGGAGGAGTTACTGTTTAATGAGTATAGAGTTTCAATTTCACAAGATCAAAAGAGTTCTGGAGATAGATGGTGGTGATGGTAGTTGACACAACATTATGAAAATATTCAATACCACTGAACTGCACATTTAAAAATGGTCAAAATAGTATATTTTACGTTGAGTGTATTTTACAATGTAAAACATTGGGAAAAAAGATGAAAACAATGGGCAGTTCTTAGGCATTAACAATTAGTACACATCTAGTCATATCATTTTATTCTAATTCACTATTAAAACGGATTAAAAGCAAAACTGATTTTCAAAAATTTATATAAGTAAAAATAAAGAAAATTATATATATGCACATTAAATTTAGAAATATTTTTAAAGGTTTGTCAGATCACTTTCTGCAAGGTTATAATACGCTCCCATGTGATACAAAATTTTGTTTATTCTTGTTTTTTTTTAAACTTTTCCATAATTCCACCTTCTATGAGTTACTGAATCATTTTTCCTACCCTTACTGGTAAGAACACAAACAAAATAGCTGTTTCATAAAAATGAATCCATTATTTCAAATTTGAAAGCCACATTTACTTTTCCTTTAAAACTACACGAACTACTTTCAGATCTTTTATCTGTGCCAACCAGCTTCTGTTGCTTACCTTCTCACAAAAGTTCCTGAGTCTCACATTACTTTACGTTCATTATGTCTATTAGCCTGTATTTGCATAGAAGTCACTACATAAAGTATATGAGAATTACATAACAAAGTTCACCTAAACCCAATTTCCTTCACACTTCCTGAAAAATTAGGTTATGAGAATTCACTGCTATGTCTCTGCTGCCCTCTGTAGGTATGGTGTCTTAGTCCATTTTGCTTTGCTATGACAGAATACCATAGGGTAGGTAATTTACAGAGAAAAGAAGTTTATTTCTTTCAGTTATGGAGGCTGAAATTCCAATATTAAGGTGCTGGCTCCTGGTAAGGACCTTTGTCCTACACCTTCCCATGGCAGAAAGCAGAAAGACAAGTGAGGGTGAGAGCAAGGGACAGAAAATTTTTATAACAACACGTCCTTGTGGTAACAAACCCACTACTGTGATAATGATATTAATCTATTCATGAAGGCAAGGCCCTCATGGCCTAATCCTAATACAGGAACCATTAAAAGGTTCTTTTAACATATACCATTCTTTTAATATATACCATTCTTACACTGGTATAAAGATATGCCTGAGACTGGGTAATTTATAAAAGACGAGGTTTAACTGTCTCAGTTCTGCACGCTGTACAGGAAGCATGGTGGCATATGCTTCTGGGGACGCCTCAGGGAGCTTTCACTCATGGTGGAAGGCAAAGTGGGTGCAGGCACTTCACATGGTGAAAGCAGTGAGAGGAGGGAGCAGACACTTCACACGGTGAAAGCAAGAGAGCAAAGCGGGCAGTGCTACACACTTTTATGTATTTATGTATTTATTTTTTTAATAGAGACAGGGTCTTGCTATGTTGGCCAGGTCAGTCTCAAACTCCTGGGCTCAACTGATCCTCCCATCTTGGCCTCCCAAAGTGCTGGGATTATAGGCAGGAATCACGGTGCCAGGCTGCTACACATTTTAAACTATCAGCTCTCACAAGAACTCACTCACTATTGTGAGGACAGTACCAAGGGGGATGGTGCTAAACCATTCATGAGAAATGCACTTCCATGATCCAGTCACTTTCCACCAGGCCCCATTTCCAACAATGGAAATTACAATTCAACATGAGATTTGGTTCGGGACACAGACCCAAACTGTATTAGTCCCATATTTTAATATTGTCACCATGATAATTAAATTTCAACAAGAGTTTTGGAGGGGACATTCAAACCACAGCAAATGGTTCTTGAAGACACTAATAAAATAAATTATAAAACCCCAGCCAATAATATCAAAGTACTATCAAGTTAATATGGAAAGTCATATCAGTAATCAAATACATCTGTTAAATGTCCTAAAAGAAAATACTGCAGGCCAGGCGCGGTGGCTCACACCTGTAATCTCAGCACTTTGGGAGGCCAAACTCTTGTACACTGTTGGTGGGAATGTAAATTAACACAGCTATTATGGAGAATAGCATGAAGGTCTCTCAAAAAACGAAAAAATAGAACTACCATATAATCTATAATCTCACTTCTGGGCCAAAGGATTGAAATCAGTATGCTAAAAAAAAAATCTGCATTCCCATGTTAATTGCAGTGCTATTCACAATAGCTAAGATTTGGAAACAATCTAGGTGTCTAGATGAATGCATAAAGAAAATGTAGTATATCTACACAATGGAATACTATCCAGTCTTATAAATAAAGAAGGAAATTCTATCATTTGCGACATGAATGAACCTGGAGGACATTACGTTAACTCAGATAAGCCAGGCACACAAAGACAAATACAGCATGATCTTACTTACATGGGGAATCTAAAAAAGTAGAACTTACAGAATCGGGGTAGAATGTTGGTTACCAGAGGCTGGGAGAGAAAAGTGGATGGAGAAAGGGAAGATGCCGATGAAAGGATACAAAATTTCATTTAGACAGAAGGAATATGCTTTAGTAATCTAATACACAGAATGATGACTAAATAACAGTGCATTGCATTTTACAATTTTTTAAAATGTATAGGCATGCAAAAAAGCAGAAGAATACAACCCATAAGGAGGCGAAATAGACACAGAAATGACACAGATAGATTTACCAAAACAGCCATTAAAAAGTTATTATAAATATACTCTATGTTCAAAATATAGAATGTATGACATGTTAAGGAAAGGCATGGACAATATAAAAAGACTCATATCAAACTTCTAGAAATGAAAACTACAATGTCAGAGATGACCAACACACTTATAGTATTACCTGCAGAATATACTGAAGAATTAAAAAAAAGTTATTAAAAAAAAGAATTAAAAAAAAAACTTGAAGATGTAGCAACAGAAACCACCCAAAATGAAATGAAGGGGACAAAACAATGACAGCAAAAATGAGACATGACACATTAGGCAGCCTAATTAATATACATGTAATTGGAGTCACAGGAGGAAATGAAAAGGGGAGTCAGAAAAAAAATTTATTGAGAAGTAAAAGCCAAAAACTTACCAAATGTGATGAAAACTACAAACTCACATATATGCAGAAAAGAGTTAACATAGTTGGCCTGAAGTAGCTATCCTTAGAAAACCCTGCTTGCAAAGCTGGTCCTTGCCTAGCTTCTGAAAACAGATTTCAGGAGAATCTTCATCACTCCATAAATGATAAATAATGGTGGGTCACTGTGCCTAAACTGTGCAAACAATATGGCTTATACTGAATACCCATTTTCTTTCTGAAGTCTGGAATTTGGGTAGATTCTAGGGAGAGGGTGCCTATGTTACCAGTCCCTAATAAAAACCCTGAGTCTCTAATGAGTTCCCTAGTACATAACACTTCACACATGTCATCTAAACATTTTGCTGAAAGAATTAAGCATATACTGTGTGACTCCACTGGGAGAGGACTCGTGGAAGACTGCTGATTTAAATTTGCATTCTTTTGGCCAGGCATGGTGGCTGACACGTGCAATTCCAGCACTTTGGGAGACCAAGGTGGACGGATCCCTTGAACACAAGGGTTCAAGACCAGCCTGGGGAAGATGGCAAACTACATTATACAAAAAACACAAAAATCAGCCAGACGTGGTGGCACATGCCTGTAGGACCAGCTACTCTGGAGGCTGAGGTGAGAGGATCACTTGAGCCCAGGAGATCAAGGCTGCAGTGAGCTATGAGCGCACCATTGCACTCTAGCCTGGGTGACACAGCAAGACCCTTTTTTACACCCTTTTTTTCACCCTATTTTTGTATCCTTTCAGCGTAATAAATGATGGCCATGAGTATGACTATATGCTCACTCCTGTGTATCCTCCTAGTCAACTGCTGAACCTGGAGGTGGTCTTGGGGAACCCCCAAAACACCATAGATTCAAAAGGCTTGACAAACACCAACTGAAAAATCATACCAAGGCATATCACAATCAAACTGCTTAAAACCAGTAATGAAGAGAAAAATCTTAAAAGGTCAAGAATGAGAATAGCTTCAAGGTTATGGACAGCAACTTGAGCTAAGATAATGAAGCAATGCCTTCAAAACTTCGAAGGAAAATTATTTCCAACCTAAAAATTCTATACAAATTTTCAGTCACACATCAAAATATGACAAAAGCATCTTCTGACATACCAAATAATTCCTCAGGAAGTTACGGTAAGATGTGTTCAACCAAAACAGGGTGAAAACCAAGAAAGAGGAAAACATGAAATCCTGGATAAAGGAGCACAATACAGGACAGAGGTCAATAAATTCCCAGAATGATAGCAAAGTCCGGGTGACAATGTTCGCGAAAGGAGAGAGGACGCTGAGTTCAAACTGGAGCAGCTAGGAGGTTGTGGGAAAGAGTTCTCCAAAAAAATGAAACTCACAGAATGCCTGCTGTCTGAAAATCTTAACAAGAGAGCTAGGCAATGATGAAAAAGTATTTTTTTCCATCAATAAGTAAAACTAGATGAACAAAAACCAAAATAATTATTAAGTCTAGGGAAAGCAAATAGTTGCAAAGGATAATAATATTTCCCTTGGCTATCAATATTATTTATTCACAATTGTGTAAAATGCTGAATATAATCTAACCAAACTTTGATATATCTGCACTGGGAGAACAGTAGGATAAAAAAAGTTCAGCGTGCAGTGAGGGTGGGAAGTGAGCGAGAAGAGAGATCAATATTTATCCACGTTGAGAAGTACAGCACAAGCACATTATTTAGAGATAAGCGAGTAAAGAAGAAAAGAATCCCCTAAGAGTCAAAAGTGGTTGTTCTTGAGGAAGGACAGGAAAACACACACACACACACACACACACACGCACACACACACACACACACAAAACAACTATGATTAGCAGATGTTATACAGAGACTAAAAGTTTTGAAATAATTCATTCTTACCTTGGGAAGCTCCGATAGCTTCTCATCACTTGTCAAAGACTGATTACTTGCACAAGAAGCACAGTCTGAGATTTCCACAGCACCCTCATCATCTTCAAATTCATTACAGTCACTAGCCTCTGCCCTGTCACTGTCGATCTCCCAGTCAATAAACTGTAATTCACCTAAAAAATACAATTTTTAACTTGCTTAATTATCTCCTTAATCTTTCACTTTTAAATCTCCTTTATTCTTAGTAGTTATCCATGTCACTTAGTAATTTTAAAAAACATATCTAGGGCCAGGCACAATGGCTCATGCCTATAATCCTAGAGCTCTGGGAGGCCAGGGTGGGCAGAATGCCAAAACTCAGGAGTTCAAGACCAGCCTGGTCAACAAGATGAAATGCTGTCTCTATTAAAAATACAAAAAATTAGCTGGACATGGCAGCGCACATCTATAGTCCCAGCTACTCAGGTGGCTGAGGCACCAGAATCGCCTGAACCCGGGAAGTGGAGGCTGCAGTGAGCCGAGATCGTGCCACTCAACTCCAGCCGGGGCAACAGAACGAGACTCTGTCTCAAAAAAAAAAAAATTTAGACAGTGAAAAGTATATTTCTACTCTCATCTCAAATCACTGTTTCTCCCAAATCTTACTCCAACTCCAATTTTAAGTTAACTACTTTTATTGTTTCTGTATCCTTGTAGAGTTTCTCCAGCATGTTTAAGCAAATAAACTATGTATTATTTTTTCCTCCTTTCTTACACGGCTAGACTTTTTCACTAAACATAATTAAGAGGATATAGTAGGATTGCTTGAGCCCAGGAGTTTGAAGTTACAGTGAGCTATGATCCACTGCACTCCAGCCTCGGTGACAGAGCAAGACCTCATCTCTTAAAAAAAACAGCCACTATAATGATTTTAACAGACTGAAGGTCCAGCCACCACTGAGAGAAGCAGATGCATAATGGCAACTGCTTCCCACATAAACATCAAATTCAGTCATGGAAGCCAGGCAGGGGAACACATTAGAGATTTTCCAGGCTGCTGAACCTTCCCAACAGGAAGCCAGGGACAGACAAGGGAAAAACACAAATGCCCTCAGAGCTGCCGCCAGTATCACACATCTTTGCAGCCCTCGTTCATTCACTCACTCCTTCATTCATTAGACAAAGCAAGTGCCTAAAAAGAGCCCATCACATCATTCAAGATACTCACAATACGAAATAAATACAAGAGAGAAAACAGCACCATTCCTAGCCTGAAGTAGCCCACAGATTAATACATATTGCAATGTGATGCATGCTATGAAATAACTGGCACTTTCATCACAAAACTTTTGTGGTCACAAAACTTTTAAAAAACAGGAAGACTGCTACTATTACACTTAAATTTGCATTTTACAGATGAGGAAATTGGATCTCCAATAATTTAAGAGATTTTCCGAAAGTTATAAAAACTTTTAGACAATTGCTAAAAACCAAATGGAAGGGAGGCTGGGCACGATGGCTCACATGTGTAATCCCAGCACTTTGGGAGGCACAAACCATACTATTTACCCATAAAAAGCATAAACTTTGTATTCTGAAATGTATGAAGACAAACCAAGAGTTATGTAACAATAAATTTAATTTACTATGGTCGAATTGCTATCAGCTTATATATAATCCTAAAATACCACTTCACCTGGTAACTACTAAAATGTCAATGGAATTAATAGTTACCAAAATGACATACAAAGTGGTCAAAAGAATTTAACTACCCTCCCGAGAAGCTGTCTCTGTACAAACCTAACCCTAGGTAACTAACATGAACTGTCAAGAGTTAAAAGTCACAAGCTTATTTTGAAAACATTAAGACATTTAAATATTCTATAGATTATTTGTATATTTTAAAAATTCTAAAAGGACATGATTTCCATAATTCTACATCTGTGGTTATCAACTAGGGGTAATTTTTGTCCTTCAGGGGACCCTTGACAACATCTGGAGACATCTTTGGTTATCATCACTGTGGTTGGGATCCTACCGTGACCCAGCAGGTAAAGGCAAGGGACACGGCAGAATATCCTATAGGCAGAGGAAGGTGCTACTCCCCATAACAAAGAATCATCTGGCCCAAAATGTCAAGAGTGTCAAGGATAAGAAACTCTGCTTTCAATTGTCTAAAACATGACACAATATAAAACGCCATCTGAATAGAAATTTGTCAGTACGTTACACCTCTACCACACACTGGTTGTCACAGTATTTACCCAACAGGTTGGGAAGAAGGCAGTGTGGGCGTGGCACTGTGTAGAAGGTGAAAGAACTGGCTATGGAGCAGAGAGACCTAAAACGGAATCCCAATCCATTCCATCAGTCCAAGCTTAAGTTGTTAACTATAAAAATAATATCTGTAATACCTATCTCCTAGAGTTGTTTTGAGAAATATTAAACAAGAAAATGTTTCTGAAGTGTTTAGCATAGAGGGTGGAACTCAGTAAAATCCTAATTATTAGAAAAGAATTTAATTTTCATTCTCTGGGACAAATGCCTAAAGGTGCAGTTGCTGGGCTATATGGTAATTGCATGCTTAGTCTTTAAGAAACTGCCAGACTCTTTTCCAGAGTGGTTGTACCATTTTACTGTACACCTGCAATGTACTGGTGATCCAGTTTCTCCACAACCTCACCAGCATTTGGTATTGTCAGTATTTTTTATTGTAGCCATTCTGATAGGTGGAATGTTAATGATAAATACTAGAAAGGAATGTAAGTTTCTTCCAATATTAAATCCAATATTTAACAGAAACTGGATTTCTAACAAAATTATCAATTTACCTTCACTAGTCCCATCTTCTGGACACACAATGTTCCTGTTACAAAATCTGTCTATTCTAGAGCAATGTCCATTATCTCTCTGTAATTGAGAAAGTGTCTTATCTTCATCCGAAAAATCACTTCCACTGGAACTCCATGTTATATCTGTAAGCCCACTGGTGCTTTTAAATGTGGTAGTTTCTGTTGAAGAAAAAGAAAGCACATAAATATCATCTCCTTATATGGTCATTTATCAGAATACAATTTTATGTGTGTAATTTTGCCAAAGTCACGAATACACAAAACTCTGTGATAGGAAAAGCAATGTCTACGTCAAATCTTTCTACCTGAAGTTCTATGCACAATCTCACTAACATTCTCTTGAGTTCGAAGCCAAGTTCCAAGAAGAAAAAGAAGTAGAACTGGTTAAGTTATACAAAAAAAGGAAAGTGACTAGAGCACAAAAGAAAACCAGAAAAATAAGACCTGAAATAACATTTTATAAAAGTATAACTTCCTGGGGTATTTGATGAAAACAAAAAAATTTTTTAAATGCAAAACACAAAGTCAAAACTTATGAGTAACAGGAATGCTTCTGTGTGCTTCCTTTGCCGTGCTAAGAGCTCTGGGAGCAGGGTGCTTAAAACACTTAAGACCAAACATTGTATTTAATTACACTTTTTATTTTGATATAATATTAGATTTATATACAGTTGTAAGAAACAACAGAGAAAACTCTTGTATCCATCACCCAGTCCCTCCAATGGTAACATCTTGCAAAACTGTAGTACAACACAACCAGGATACTGACACTCATCCAGTCAAGATACAGATCACTTCTATCACCACAGGATGCCTTGCATTACCTTTTTATAGCTACACCATCTCCTGGCCCCATACCAATCCCTGAACTCTGCCAACCACTACTCAGTTTTGCATTTCTGTAATTCTGTCATTATAAAAATGTTATATAATCGAGACCAGCCTGGCCAACATGGTGAAACCCCATCTCTACTAAAAACACAAAAAAATTAGCCGGGTGTGGTTGCAGGTACCTGTAATCTCAGCTACTTGGGGAGGCTGAGGCAGGAGAATTGCTTGAACCCAGGAGGCAGAGGTTGCAGTGAGCCAAGATTGAGCCACTGCACTCCAGCCTGGGCAACAAGAGCGAAACTCCATCTCTCTCTGTCTCCGTCTCTCTCCCTTTCTCTCTCCTCTCTCTCTCTCCGCCCCCCCCTCTCTCACACACACACACACACAGGTTATATAAATAAAATCACTATGTAACCTTTTAGGATTGACTTTTTTCACTCAGAATAATTTCTTAGATATTCATCTAAGTTATCAACATTTATTTTCTTTTTATTACTGAATAGTACACCATGATACTATGCACCATAGTTTGTTTAATCATTCACCTACTGAAGGACATCTGTGTTGTTTCTAGTTTGGGGCTATTATGAACAAAGCTGCTTATAAACATCTGTGTACAAGATGCTATGTAAATTTAATTTTCATTCTCTGGGACAAATGCCTAAGCATGCAGTTGCTGGGTTATATGGTAATTGCATGTTTAGTCTTTAAGAAATCACCAGACTGCTCTCCAGAGTGGTTGTACCATTTTACTGTACACCTGCAATGTACTGGTGATCCAGTCTCTCCACAACCTCACCAGCATTTGGTATTGCCACTATTTTTTATTATAGCCATTCTAATAGGTGGAAAACGTAGCCAGAATGGGGCTATTTCATCTTGGTAGAATCAAAAGTCAACAGCAAACTTTTCTGATATTGGTCAGAAAAGGAATATATACCTAATAAAAATCAATTATTCTGTTTATATTCATAATTATAAATATAATGCTAAAACATATATATGTACATATATACATACATATCTTATCCTACATGGTATATTTGATATATTTCAAAGCGCATTTCAATACACTATGAAATGAAGAGATTAGATATTTATAAAATTCATGTTTTACAAAAAATAAACCTAGGCTTCATCAGATACATATTTACAGAACCCCTCTGATACAGTAAACCATGAGGAAACAAAGAAAACTCCAGCCTAGGCAACACAGTGAGACCCAATCTCTACAAAAAACTAAAAAATTAGCTGAGCATAGTGGTGCATGCCTGTAGTCCCAGCTACTTGGAAGTCTGAAGCAGGAGGACGAGTTTAAGAGCAAATGTTTGAGGTTGCAGTGAGCTATGACTGCACCACGGCACTCCATCCTGAGTGACAGAGTAAGATCCCATCTCTAAAAAAGAAAAGAAAAGAGAAAAGAAAAGAAAACTCCTTCCCACAAGGAACATGTGTGGTCTGGAAGGAAACACTAATCATGAAAAAAACTAACACTATACCAGACGTATGTCATGGAATAGTGGTGGTACAAAAAAACTGAATGTTCCACTTTGCATTGATCAGGAAAAGAGGATTCACTAACACGATGATGTCTGAAAAAACAGTATTTACAAAGGCAAAAAACATGGAATAGTCAACATTTACTGAACACTTACTACTTTGTGCCACAAACATCTAGAATTACTGAAGTGGCCTATTGTTCATGTTATAAAAGGAAAAATAAACTATTCAGAACATCCTAAGAATCTATATCTATCTAAAAAGCTAATAAACTGGGTACTTGTAAGAGACATTATCGATCTCTATCATTATTGTGCATTTGAAAAGTAAGTCAAGAAGCAAGTTATCGACCGGGAGCGGTGGCTCACGCTTGTAATCCCAGACTTCGGGAAGCCGAGGCGGGTGGATCACGAGGTCAGAAGCTCACCACCAGGCTGGCCAAGATGGTGAAACCCCATCTCTACTAAAAATACAAAAAATTAGCCAGGCGTGGTTGTGGGGCCCGTAATCCCAGCTACTCCAGAGACTGAGGCAGACAACTGCTTGAACCCAGGAGGTGGAGGTCGCAGTGAGCAGAGGTCGCGCCACTGCACTCTAGCCTGGGTGACAGAGTGAGACATCATCTCAAAAAAAAAAAGAAAAGAAAAGGAAGTTATCACTATTTGCAAATTATAAAATGAATTCATGGAAAAGTCAAGAAACCAACTGAAAAATTACTACCATTAATAAGAAAGTCCAATAAAGGTGGCAAGGTACAAACAAAGATACGAAATCAAATTTAAAGCAGTAGAAAAAACAATAAAATACCTACAAGAAACTTAAGTGTCGCGGGAAGTCAGTGACCCCAAATGGAGGGACCAGCTGGAACCATGGCAGAGGAACATAAATTGTGAAGTATCATTTTAATATGGACATATATCAGTTCCCAAAATTAATACGTTTACAATTTCTGTACTTCAATCTCTGAACATAAATTGTGAAGATTTCATTCTAATATAGACATTTATCACTTCCCAAATAATACTTTTATAATTTCTTATGCCTGTCTTTAATCTCTCAATCCTGTTATCTTCGTAAGGTGAGAATGTACCTCACCTCAGGACCACTATTGTGTTAAACTGTACAAATTGATTGTAAAACACATGTGTTTGAACAATATGAAATCAGTGCACCTTGAAAAAAAAGAGAACAGCAATTTTCAGGGAACAAGGGAAGACAACCATAAGGTCTGATGGCCTGTGGGGTTGGGCAGAATAGAGCCATATTTTTCTTCTTGCAGAGAGCCTATAAACGGACATGTAAGTAGGGAAGATACCACTAAATTCTTTTCCCAGCAAGGAATATTAATAATTAAAACCCTGGGGAAGGAATGCATTCCTGGGGGGAGGTCTATAAATGGCCTCTCTGGGAGTCTCTCTCCTATGTGGTTGAGATAAGGACTGGTCTCCTGCAGTACCCTCAGGCATAATAGGGTGGGGGGAAAAAACCCACCCTGGTGAATTTGAGGTCAGACGGGTTTCTCTTCTCAAACCCTGTTTTCTGTTGTTTAAGATGTTTATCAAGACAATACGTGCACAGCTGAATATAGACCCTTCTCAGGAGTTTTTGATTTTGCCCTTTGCCTTGTGATCTTTGCTTTGCCCTTTGCCTTGTGATCTTTATTGTCCTCAGAAGCATGTGATCTTTGTTCTTCTTTTTGCCCTTTGAAGCATGTGATCTTTGTGACCTACTCCCTGTTCGTATACCCACTCCCCTTTTGAAGTCCTTAATAAAAACCTGCTAGTTTTGCTGTTCAGGTGGGCATCATGGTCCTACCAATATGTGACGTCACCCCTGGAGGCCCAGCAGTAAAATTCCTCTCTTTGTACTCTTTATTTCTCAGCTGGCCAACACTTAGCTAAAATAGAAAGAACCTACGTTGAAATACTGGGGGTGGGTTCCCCTGATACTTAAGAGACATGTAAAACCAAAGTACACGTTTTTAGACTTCAAAAGAACATAAAAGAACAAACAGAAAGACATATACTAAGATTTTGGATGATCTGATCAGAAAAAACTGACCTCACTGCCTTGAGGCTGAGCATCTTTTCATACATTTGAAAATCATTTATATTTCCTTTTTTGAAAGCAGTCCCTCCATAACCATTATTTTTGCAATAGTTATCTTTTTTCCCCTAGATTAAGTTCTGACGGTTCTTTATGAGAAAGATCAGCCTTGGTCTGTGACATGAGTCACAATATTTTCCCTGGTTTTTCTGAATTTTAAATTTTGTTTATGTACGTGTAATTTTTTGTAAGAGATGTGGTCTTGCTATGTCGCCCAGGATGGACTGCAGCAGCTGTACACAGGCATGATCACAGCACACTGCAGCCTCAAACTCCTGGGCTCAAGTGATCTTCCTGCCCTATACAATACCAGACTTATATATGTAATTTTGGCCATGCTATTTTTCCCTTTATGTTTAGGTGAATTTACAGCTTTATTCGTACAGTTCCTATGTTACGAATCATTCATTGAAAAGCACTTCCCAAATGTAATGCCTTTTTTCGGCCAGCAGCTGTGGTGCCTGAGAGGCACATCCAGGCAGTTTAGCTTCTGAGCCCATGTTCTTAACCATTATGCGTGGCTCCCAAGTCAGAGAGACCTGCAGTTGTTTTCACGATTAGTTTAGTGTGAGTATCTTAAGAAAATATGTAACTGTCTGATGCTTATGTACCATCTAATTTAAAAGGCAGGATAATCATTAGTTACGTCATTCAAAACCTCAGAGACCAGGACTCTAGATTTATAAATCCATGAATTATAGGCACCTGACTGCACAACTAGATAGTTAAAACCACTACCATCTCAAAAAAAAAAAAAAAAAAACCACTACCAGGAATTGATTAGCAACTCATTTTACTTGCTGAAAAGAGGGTGTCCTTGATATCAAGGCTCATTCCAATGGAACCGTAGGATAAATATTAGCCAGACTGAACATTTCTGGGTGCCCACTGTGGGCTAGGCACTGTCCTAGCACCCGGTGTTATGAGCTGAACTGTGTTCCCGCCCCGTCCCCCAAAATTCATATGTTGAAGTCCTAACCTTCTGTACCTCAGAATGTAACTTTATTTGGAGACAGGGTCTTCATAGAGGTAATCAAATTCAAGTAAGGTAATTAGGGTGGGCCCTAATCCAAGATGACTGAAATCCTTCTAAGGGGAAATCTGGACACAAAGACAGACATGCACAGAGAAAACAATGTGAAGAGACCTGGGGAAGAGACAGAGGAAGAACGCAGTATCTATAAGCCAAGGAGAGAGGTCTAGAACAGATTCTTCCCCCACAGCCCTCAGAATGAACCAACCCTGCCAACAGCTTCATTTTGGAGACTGGCCTACAGAACTGTGAGACAGTCAGTTTCTGCTGATTAAAGCCACCCAGTTTGTGGTACTTCCAAAGGCCATAATACAGCCTTTGGAAACTAGTTCAGCAGTGATATAAAGATGAGCAACAGATGGGGTCTGCCCTTAAGAAGCCAGTGGTCTAGTGGGGAAACAGGCAGGTCAAGAAATAATAATTATTAGTAATTTTTTATTAGCCGGATAATTTTAGTTTTTTCCTTTTCTCATTAGTGTCAATTGCTATAATATTCAAAGATCAAGTTCATCTTGGTTTCTAAACTTTTATAATATGTCGGGGGGGAAAGTATTTTTCTTTAGCAGATATGGCTTGAATCTTTTCTGGAGATTTTAAACATGTATAAGTAAATTCAACTTTGAAAAAGAAACATTAAATAAGTTGTTACCTTGTATTTCATAACAAAAATACATTTTTGGATGATTTTCCCATGCCACTACTTATTTGACCCATACTCTGGTGTACTTTCTACTCTATAGAATGATCAATATATTCTGAAAGGTGAGAAGAGCTTGTATGAATGTATAGTTACTTTATTTATAACATACGCAGCTTGCTAAGGCAAAAAATCATTATTAATAACTTAATAAAGGCTCGCTATTTGTAGTGGAGACTGATAGAAAAAGAGACTCGAGGAATTTCGTAGAACTGGTTCATTTTTAACAGGTTCATTTAAACTAATACTGAAGTATTAGTTTAAGACATCCTATTAACAAAAATTCCAGGATAAAAATTCTATACTACATTTTGGGTGAGGAGGCAGTATTTTTATGACAGCTGGGAAGCAGAGTCGGGGAACATGCTTTTGTAATGTGTGCCTAAGGTCAGAGGCTTGTCTTCGCCAACAGCTTCTGCAATTCCATCAGAAGATTATAGTATTTAAAAGATGTGTACAGTTTATTTCATAATACAACATTTTATAAATTTTAAAGAAACATTTTTGGTAAATTTTCTTTTTCATTTGTATAGAAAAGAATGCATGTCACTGAAATAATAACATGGTTTAGAACGTCACAGAAAGTTATGCCACTGACATACGAGCAACTGCTGTCATCAATCAAGCACCTACTGAAGCACCTCTAGGCATTTAATCTACTATTTTTAGCTCACTTAATATTCATAATAACCCAATGATTATACCCATTCTCCAGATACAAAACTGAGACTGCGAATGTTTAGCTTAGTTTTCAAAGATTATAGAGCTAGGATGCAGCAAGATCCCGGAAGTCACAAGCCCTCACTCTTCCCACACACCCACAGCGGGGCTGACTGCCTATGGCGGCAGAACCAGCGGCCAACCTAATATCCACCCACCCCCTCTTCATTACTAATAACCCCAGTTTTCTTTAGCAGCAACATACCTATCTAAAAATCCTTAATTTCACTAAAGTATCTTTAGTGGAGGTGACCCTTTGTAACAGGTTCTAGTCAAAGGTAGACTAGACTGGGAAGGGCATTCCTTCTCAAAAGAAAGGCAAAGCTGACTTGGCAAAAATCCTCAGCACCTACACTCTTCCAAGAATTCAGCCTGGAGAATTCAGCCACCACCTACCGACCATGAGAACCAATCCCACACTCAGGCTACAGAATTCAGAAAGAATTTAGCCCTCTGGATGTCCTGCTGCAGGAGACAAATTCAACCTCATTTATCCAAATACTCTAGTGTTTGAACAGTTTTCTACTACTTATTTAAAGTTCCCTAATTCATCAAGAAAGAATTTCAGAGCCTGAAGCTGTATAGTTCTTTTGGCATAGGTCACGTTTCCTTCCCAAATCTGATTTGAAAAAAAAAAACCACACAAAACCCTGGAGCTATGAGCATGAGCTAAACCTACTGGGCTCTGTGATAAAAATGAACTCAGGGGCCAAGCACGGTGGCTCACGCCTGTAATCCCAGCAATTTGGGAGGCCAAGGCAGGCAGATCATGAGGTCAGGAGATGAAGACCACCCTGGCTAACACGGTGAAACTTCATCTCTACTAAAAACACACAAAAAAATTAGTTGGGCACAGTGGCGGGCACCTGTAGTCCCAACTACTCGGGAGCCTGAGGCAGAATGGCGTGAACCTGGGAGGTGGAGCTTGCAGTGAGCCGAGGTCACACCACTGCACTCCAGCCTGGGCGACAGAGCGAGACTCTGTCTCAACAACAAAAAAAAAGAACTCAGCAAGGACACACACAAAAATGTTAGTTAGGTGGGCAGGAGAAATGGGGTAGATGGTGACAGCGACGACAGAGTTCTCAAAAATACCTTTTTACCTTGTCTTGATGTTTTTTAACTATGAATGTAGTCTCCCCAAACCATGTAACTTTTTTAAAAAAACAAATTTTTAAAATAATCACAGAAGGATTTATTAGTCTTATATCTTCTCTGTCAAGAAATCAACAAAATAGTTACCTTGCTTGGGTCTAGGGGATAATTCAAGGTGTTTTTCTGTAATCGTCTTCTCTTCAGCTGTTAATGACTGCAGGCAAAATAATAATCATGGAATTTATGTGACAAATGCAAAAAAAAACTTTTATAAAATATTCAAAATCTTAAACTATACTCTCCTTAACATATTCTTCTCTGATTTCCTTTACCAATTCACCAATTTCAGTATTCCCAAAGCATGTACTCCTTATATATTTATAAATTTGGTGTATTTTTCCAGAATCTAAAGAGATCTGACTGACCAAAACGTTTCATATTAACATTCAATGTAATATCTGCTCACTCATATGACTCTGACTGCCTATGAGGTACTCATTACTACTCATACCCAAATATCTTGAGTTTGTAATAGCATTCCTCCGTAAGTACACAAACACACAAAAATTATCCAGAACATCTCATTGCCAAAAGATTCTGAATATACAGGCATACCTTGTTTTATTGTGCTTCACAGATAAAGTGTTTTTTACAAATTGAAAATTTCTGGCAATCCTGTGTCAACCAATTCTGTGTGCCATTTTTCCAACAGCATCTGCTCACCTATAAACTTGTGTCTCTGTGTCATATTTTGATAATTATCCCAAGATTTCAAACTTTATCATTATTATTAAATCTGCTATGATGGTCTGTGATCAGTGATCTCTGGTATTACTACTGTAATTGATTTGGGGTGCCACAGTCAAAACCAATATAAGAGAGCAAAATTAATAAATGCTGTGTGTGTTCTGACTGCTCCACCAACCAGCTGCTCCTCCATCTCTTGCCTTCTCCTTAGGCCTCCTATTCTCTGCAACACAACAATATTAACATTAAGTCAATTAACAACCTTACAGTGGCCTCAAAGTGCTCAAACAAAGGAAGAACTGAACGTTTCACACCTTAAATCAAAAGTTGGAAATGGCCGGGCACAGTGGCTCACACCCGTAATCCCAGCACTTTGGGAGGCCAAAGTGAGTAAATCACCTAAGGTGAGGAATTCGAGACCAGCCTGACCAACATGATGAAACCCCGTGGCTACTAAAAATACAAAAATTAGCTGGGCGTGGTGGCAGGCACCTGTAATCCCAGCTACTCGGGAGGCTGAGGCAGGAGAATTACTTGAACCTGGGAGGTGGAGGTTGCAGTGAGCCAAGATTCCACCACCCCAAGTGACAGAGACTCCATCTCAAAAAAAAAAAAAAAAAGTAAAGAAAAGCTGGAAATGATAAAGCTTAGGTAGGAAGGCATGGCAAAAACTAAGATAGGCTAAAATTTAGACCTCTTGCACCAAATTGTTAAGCCAGTTGTGAATGCAAAGGAAAGTTCTTGAATGAAACTGACAGTGCTACTCCAGTGAATACACAAATGATAAGAAAGTAAAACAGCACTATTGCTAATACAGAGTTTTAGCAATCTGGATAGAAAATTGAACCGCTATAACATTCCTTTAAGCCAGAGCAGAATTCAGAGCAAGGTCCTAACTCTCTTCAATTCTACAAAGGCTGAGAGAGGTGAAGCTGGAGAAGAAAAGTCTGCAACTAGCAGAGGGTGGTTCATGAACAAATCATCTCCATAACATAAAAGTACAAGGTAATGCAGCAAGTGATCTAGAAGATCTAGTTAACATCACTGATGAAGGTAGCTATGCTAAATAATAGATTTTCAATAGAGATGGAAGAGCCTTATATTAGAAGATGATGCCATTTAAGACTTTCGTAGCTAGAGAGAAGTCAATGCTTGGCAATAAAGCTTCAAAGAACAGACTGATACTCATATTGGGGCTAACGCAGCTGGTAACATTAAGTTGAAGCCAATGATCATGTATCATTCTGAAAATCCTAGCGCCCATATGATAAATCTGCTCTGCCTCTGCTCTATAAATGTAACAACAAAGCCTGGATGACAGCACATCTCTTTACAGTATTCTTTACTGTAATACTTTAAGTCCACTGTTGAGACCCGCTCAGAAAAAAAAAGATTTCTTTCAAACTATTACTGCTGATTGACAATGCACCTGGTCACCCAAGAGCTCTGATTGAGAAGCACAAGGAGATTAACGTTATTTTCATGCCTGCTAACACCACTTCCATTCTGCAACCTATGGATCAAGGGGTGATTCTGACTTTCAAGTCTTATTATTTCAGATATACATGTCACATGGCTGTAGCTGCCATAGATAGTGACTCCTCTGATGGATCTGGGCAAAGTAAATTGAAAACTTTCAGGAAAATATTCACCATTCTATGTGCCATTAAGAACATTCATGATTAATGACAGAAGATCAAAATATCAGCATTAACAGGAGTTTGGAAGAAGTTGATTCCAACCCTTATGTATGACTGAGGAGTTCAAGACTTCAGCAGAAAAACTGATGTGATAGAAACAGCAAGAGAACTAGAATTAGAAGTGCAACCTGAACATATGACTGAATTGCTGTAATCTTCTAAGAGTTGAATGGATGAAGAGTTACTTCTTACGGATGAACAAATAAAGTAGTTTCTGGAGATAAAATCTACTCCTGGTGAAAATGCTGTGAACATTGTTGAAGTGATAACAAGGAATTTAGAATATGCTATAAACTTAGTTGATAAAGCAGTGTCAGGCTTTGGAAGGATTGAGTCCAATTTTGAAAGAAGTTCTATTACAGGTCAAATATTATCAGCATCACATGCTACTCAGTAATCTTTCATGAAAGGAATAGTAAATAGATGTGGTAAACTTCACTTTTACCCTATTTTAGGACACTGCCACAGTCACCCCAACCTTCAACCACCAACCTGATCAGTCAGCAGCCATCAGCATCAAAGCAAGACTCTCTCCCAGCAAAAAGATTACACCTTGGTGAAGGCTCCTATGATTGTTAGCATTTTTTTTTAGCAATAAAATATTGTTAAATTAAGGTATATACATTGCTTTTTTAGACATAATACTACTGCACACTTAACAGACTACAGTATAATATAAATATAACTTTTATATATACCAGAAAATCAAAGAATTCATGTGATCACTTTATTGCGATATTCACTTTATTGTGTTGGTCCTGAACTAAACCTGCAATATCTCCAGAGTATGCCTCCAGAGTAAACATGCATTTCTTGTGAAGAGTGGTATGCTAAATGGTTTCATCTTCTGAGAACATTCTTAGTAAATATCCTTCATTTACAAACAAAGAAGTAGAAAGGTTCTGCATGGATTAAAGAGGTACAGGTGTGAGCTGGGCATTGGGGCTCACACCTGTAATCCCAACTCTCTGGGAGGCGGAGGCAGGAGGATGACTTGCAGCCAGGGGTTAGAGACCAGCCTAGGCAACACAGCAAGACCCTGTCTCTACAGAAAGTTTTTTAAAAATTAGCCAGGCGGCCAGGCACACTGGCTTACGCCTGTAATCCCGGCACTCTGAAGGCCAAGGCAGGTGGATTACCTGAGGTCAGGAGTTCCAAACCAGCCTGGCCAACATGGTGAAACCCGGTCTCTACTAAAACTACAAAAATGAGCCGCGTATGGTGGCACGCACCTGTAATCCCAGCTACTCGAGAGGCTGAGGCAAGAGAATTGCTTGAACCTGGGAGGCGGAGGTTGCTGTGAGCCAACATAGCCCCACCGCACTCCAGCCTGGGTGACAAAGTGAGACTCTGTCTCAAAAAAAAAAAAAAAAAATTAGCCAGGCATGGTCCCAGCTATTTGACAGGCTGAGGCAAGATAGCCTGAGCCCAGGAGTTCAAGGGTTCAAGGATGCCCTGAGCTATGACTGCGCCAGCCTGGGCAACAAAGTGAGACTTTGTCTCCAAAAAAAAAAAAAAAAAAAAAGGTGAATACTAACTTGCCACGATTATTAAAGGAATGAAAGGGAAGAAAAGGAGTGTATCAATTACAGTGTCCTGAAAGAGTAAGAAAGGGAATGTATCAATTACAGTGTCCTGAAAGAGTAAGAAAGGGAATTACAATGAAATGTAATTACAATGTTCTGAACACTCAGGATTTCCTCTTTGGCATTCAGGGAAAACAATTCTACAGATACTTTACCGGAGTCCCAGAAGCGTCCTGAAACCCTTCTCCACACCTGAGCCATGCTTCAGAGAGAGAGGCAGCTGCCCCTGCTGTCCTGAGACCTGCTCTTCTGACCTGCAGTGGTCTTTCTCCTGGAAAGGATGGGCATTCTACATCCCAACTCCTTTTTCTCTGTGGAGATGATTAACAGAAAAATCAAAACAAAAAACCACTATCAACTTCATTAAATAGACATTAAGTTAACAATTTACAATCTGAAAACCCAGAAGTGTCATTAGTAAAGGCATAGTTTTTGAATGTCTCTAAATCTTCACATAAACAGCAACTGGACAGCAAAGCCAAAAACATAGAAACACAATTAATCAGCAAACTCCAAAACACAAGTGGGTAAAGACAAACCACCAACCCTCCAAAGTCCAGCATGGTATCAGTGTCTAAGAGGAAAGAAGCCAAGGAAAGTAAGAGAGCCAAGGAGGCCCTGAGAACCTAGACATCAGTGCTCACCACGAAGCAGAGCAGGTGACAGATCTGAGAACAGCACCTGAAACTAGGTGAGAGCAGGGGCTCTACGGTAAGAAGATGTGAAGAGATGGGAGCAGCCTGGGCCACCCAAAACTGGTCACCCTGGACTCACTTCTGGGGCCCTCACTGAGAAAGTGCTGGGAGTGGAATCTACTCAGCAGCACAGGGGTGGCAGAGACACAGAAAATGTCCAGATGAGCAGAGTCAGGGAGAATCTACAAGACCAAATACACAAGTGGCCATATTTTTACAAGCCATATGAAAACAACACAAGGTATGAAAGCTATGCTGAGCCAGGTGCCATGGATCACACCTGTAATCCCAAAACTTTGGGAGGCCAAGGCAGGAGGATTCCATGAGCCCAGGGGTTCAAGACCAGCCTGGGCAACACAGCAAGACCCCATTTCTAAAAAAAAAAAAAAAAAACTTTTTAGTGAGCTGGGCATGGTGGCACACGACTGTAGTTCCAGCTACTCGGGAGGCTGAACCAGGAGGATCACTTGAGCCCAGGAGTTTGAGGCTGCAGTGAGCTATGACTGCACCACTGCACTTCAACTCGGGCAACCCAGTGAGAGTCCACGTCCTTAAAAAAAGAAAAGAAAAGAAAAGCTATCCTGAATCCTGCCTCCTATCATTTCAGAAGACAGAGACATAAAAATAAGCAACAGGAAGGTATAAAAGCTAAATCCCATAAAATTATTATTAGGGAAAAACTAAGGAGAATAACATCCCAACATACCAAAAAAAAAAAAAAAAAAAAAAAAAAAAAAAAAAAAAAAAAA